AAAGACAACGTCAATATCGAGAAACCCATTGAATACCAACTGCTGTACGACTGGTTAGGAAAGGGTCTACTAATCAACGATAACAGCAATCTATGGCGTGAGCGCCGGAAACTACTCACACCTGCCTTTCACCACAAAATACTCGACCAATTCGTACCCATATTTAACAAAAACACAGACATATTATTGGATCGGCTCCGGGAGTCCACCGCCAAAGACTGTGTAAACATTTGCGATCTGGTATTCCCGGCCGCGCTCGACATTATTACCGGTTTGTACTCCATATAATCCAAGCACACATTGTATACTTATAAATATAGAATTAGTGATAGCATTTAATTAACATGCTGATTTGATCACATATATCCCACTCTCCTTTAATTGGTTAATTATAAAATTTATAAAAATTCATACATAAATATAAATAGCAAAAAATAAATTAACAAGTTCGTTTTGTGTTACAATAGAGACCGGAATGGGTATGAAAATAAACGCACAGCAGAACGAGAACCTAGATTACATCCAGGCCATTCAGGATATGGGCCGCATATTGCACTTACGTATGTTTAACCCATTATTACGGATCAATTGGCTTTTCAAACGCACACAATTGGGCCGACAATACGACCGTAACCTTAATGTCTCGCATACACTCACCCGACGTGTTATTCGTGAGCGAAAACAGTATATAATAGACAGTAGGGATAGAGAGGGCTCGCATACCGGGGCTGACATCGACGGCCATAAACGTGGTAAACGGTTGGCGTTTTTGGATCTGCTATTGGGTCAGCATTTAAGCGATAATAGACTGTCGTTAGAGGATATCCGCGAAGAGGTCGACACCTTTATGTTCGCCGGACACGACACCACTGCAATCTGTCTAAGCTGGACACTCTACTTTATCGGTAATGTTGGTCACTCTAAATATTTCTAGATAAAAAACAAATATTATATATACATTATAATGACTACGGTTTATCTGTTATAAACTAAGGTACTTTAAAAACAATAAAAATAACATATACTGTACGCACCTATACTAGGCTTACACCCGGAAGTTCAGCGCCTGATACACGACGAGTTAGACCGGGTTTTGGTGGCCAATCGGGACGTAACTTACGATGACATCAAAGAGTTGCGATATTTGGAGTCAACACTCAAGGAGTCAATGCGTTTACGACCGCCGGTGCCGGCGATTATACGGGCGCTCACACACGACCTACAGCTCGGCAATTACATAGTGCCCGCCGGTGTCTCGCTATACCTCATGATAGACACTCTACACGTGGACCCGACGGTATACCCCGACCCGTTGGCGTTCAGACCCGAGCGGTTCCTGGACGAGGCCGAGTGCGCCGGTAGGCACCCATTTAGTTACGTACCCTTTTCGGCCGGTATACGCAATTGTATTGGTCAGAAATTTGCCCTTAATGAGTTAAAAATTGTAC